GCGTCGTAGTTGAATGCGTAAGCGATCCTGCGACGCCCCATTAAGACGGGGGAAGGTTTTGTTGGGTTTTAGTGGGTAGTACTAGCTTTGCCGGTGAGTCCCACACGTCGTGCGTAAATGCATTTCCCAACGTTAAAAAAAAAGCGATAAACATAAAGACTTTTTTAATATTATTTCGTAAATTTACTAAAATAAACGATTATTATTTAAGAATAATAGCTGTATTATTATTTACATGTAGAAAACTTAAAAACATTTGCGTTTATTTCAAGCAAACTTGTTTGATCAAAACAGATGGATTTGCTAACAAATCTCCAGTTTGTATTTCGAGTTTCGAAGTAAAGATATTGCCAGGGTCCTGTATCCTCAGACACGTGGCAAGTACTGAGGAAATCTTATTAAAGCTTATATCCTAGCTCGCAAGAAATATAAAAGTTTCTACAAAATGTATGGGCTCATTTGTCGATGCCAGTTCATGAAGTTTGCTTATAAATTGAAAAGAATTTATAAAATTCAGATTATTTTTTGCTTCTTTGAAAGTATACAGCTCGTATATTAAGCTCTGTAGAGAAGGCTACAATACATTTGTAATTCTAAGTCATATCTCTCTGCTGGTCCCTAGAGATATTACTTGAAACTTACGTACAAAGACTTTGAAAATATGAAACATTTGTGATAATGAAATTGTTATTATATTTCATACAAGATAGTTTAGTATTTTAATGATCATTTGACCTATAGTGGGTATTACAATTGAATGTTTATTTTGAAAGATATTTACATCTGTCTTAACTAGTGATGCACCGGATATCCGTAACTGTATCCGTATCCGCTGATATCCGAGGGAGAAAAAAAGATCTGTATGAGTATCCGTCACTTTTTGGCGGATCTTGATCGGATCTTTTTATCATATTCATTCTTATATATTTCATAAAGTGAATGAAATTTGTTTTGCACAAAGCGAATATTAGATCATTTATTGTAGTGAGTTACAAACAAGCCTTATATCTTTATGGTATGCTTATTAAAGAAATAATGAAATGTTTGAACATTTACAATAGGTAGCTAGTTATATGACTTCAATATCCATATCCGTATTCGCGGATATTGAGATTAATGATCCGTATTCGTGTCAATATCCGCGGATATACATTTTAAACGATCCGGCACATCACTGGTCTTAACTAATGAATAAACTTGAGTCTTTGGTTGCTAAACAAACTTATAATAATTTAAAAAGCTTTTAGTTGTTAATCACATCATAAGTTTAGGATTTGGATATTATATTAAGGAAAACATCATTGAATTATAACTAGTTTTCGTCCGCGTCTTTGCTCTAATGGACAAGGATAAAAGGTAGCCTATGTTAGTCACCATGATGCAACCTATGTCCTTATCAAATTTCATCAAAATCTGTTCAGTGGTTTAAGCGTTACATGTCTTGGTAACAGATAGACAGAGTTACTTTCATATTTATAATATTAGTATAGAAAATTTACGATGAAATTGTCATTTAAACTCGTATTTGAAACGTAAAAGTTTATATTGGCTGTGGTTAACATGACAGAGATTTTAGGTTGATTTTTGTATGGTACATTAATTTATATTGTACGTGATAAAGATGTTTGTTTCTATCTAATATAATCGTAATACGAACAGAAAGCTAAAAACAAAGAACTTTGAGTCTACTTTCTAAGGGAACATCAAAGGAAATTGTAAAAAAACTTTCTTCTCATACTTATTGATTTATTACTTTGTTTTTCCTTTCTACGAAATGCTACAATGAATGTTTCCTGTACGGAATGCTCCTTATTTTTTCACCAGAAAGATTCCTTTTGTAGTTAAATTTGAAAAGGTTTAGTTTTTGCGATTTTGTATCAAACCTATCTGTTCGTAGTAAATTCGTGTTGAATTCGACTAAATTAATGATTTCTCTATTTATTATTTTGCGTACCTGAAAGGCAATATCTAAAAATACTAGCAACTCACCCTCGCTTCACTCGGGTTCGTCCCTAGTGAAAAACAAATCTATCCCTCGGGAATAGTACATTTTTCCGGAATAAAAAGTAACCTGTGTGCTATTTTAGATTGTAATCTATATCCGTGCCAAATTTCATCCAGATCCGTCCGTCCAGCCGTTGTAGCGCGATTGAGTAACAAGCATCCATCCAAACTTTCGCATTTATAATATTAATGGAATGGGAGAATAATAATGGGATTTAAACGAATACTCATATAATAGAATCTAAATTATACAAAGAAAAAATGGTTATTTAACACAGAACTCTTGATAGAAATAATAAATAATTTAACAAATCAGTTTATTTTTTCAACCGAAGTCATATATACCACTCAAAAGTTCTCGTCATACAGCAGGTATATAATATTAGTGGTTATATGAGTGGACAAAACTCATGTAGATATTATAAAATTATAATTTTATTATTCAAATTTTTTAAATTATAAATTTAATATTATATCATTCTTATTTTAATTCACTTTATAAAATTTTAAACAAAAAGTCAACGATCATGATATCAACCGTTGTCACAATGAATATTCAATTTTCTAAAGAAATCTCAGTGAAACTTTATGTCTCATCCCATCTCAACTTTAAGCGAGTTTGCTAATATTCTTTGTTCAGGAATATAGTATGAAAGAGATACGTGACTAACATGTTAAGTTAGATTAAATAAAACATTAAAAAGTGTAACTTTTTAAAGGAGCTTGACGTCTTCTCTTTTAAAACAATTTCTCTTTTAATCCCTCCACAACCGCGGACACGCCGGCGTTACAGTTAACAATAGATTTCTTAGAAATTTGATTATTTCTTAGAAATTTAACTGGCAGTGTCAATATAATATAATTAACAAATACTAATAACGCAAAAGGTAAATAAAAAAGTAGTTACTTGAATTTTTAAAGTTTTTCGAAAATATAACAATGTTATATTTATCAACACTTGAGCTATAAATCCTTAAAAATGTTAGAGGGAACATTTAACTAAAAATTCTTAACCGAAACTTTGAAGTAATGTATCGGAAGCGCTTCGATATGAAATCTACATTAAATAATACTTTGAAAACAAATGTCTTTGGAATATCATATGGGACTCTTTGCTACTTAAAGGACTTTCAAGAATGTTATGCTCTGGTAATACTTCCTTTTATGCTCTATGGCGAAAACTTTATAGTTTTGTATTTATTAAGCACACTTTTATCCGGCTATCTGTACAGTGTACATGGCATATTATAAAATAAATTTAATAGCGACAGTGCATTTTATTATATTATACACTTTATGTATCATTTTTCATTAATTTTTTGTAATTATTGTTAAAAAGTGGGTGTGACACGTTGCTCAGAGAAGAAGTGGTCGATTTGGCGGAAGAGTTGTTCTGTGGCAAATGCTTATCGAAAGCGGAAGCCTAACAAGGCCTTGGTGAAAGTATCAGAATGAACATGTATGGATAGAGATGGATTTGAATGGATAAAAAAGGTTAGCATAGACATTTTTGAGATATGTCTAGCCATGGATGTTTTTTGACTGGGTCGAGTATACAAGAAATGATAAGATAAAAAATAAAGCAACCACATCCTTACAAAAAGAAAATTATATGTTAAATTTAAATAAAGAGACTATATTTTGGTTGATTTAATCGAAATTAATAGAAGTATAAAGCTGTTTTTCATATTATTACGTGTATAGACATAATATTGGTTTCAGTTTGATATATTTTCATTATCTCTCTGCCCATTTTCCAATTACATACTTTGGGTCGGCGCAGTACATCTTTCGTAGGTACTGCTGATAGGATTCGGCAAAAGTTTTACAACCAGCCGCCTGACCATCAACCCTTCTTGGTCTGATTTTTTCATCATTATCATCAAAATCAGTTCCACATATTCTATTGTTTCAAAATTTTCTTACATCTTTGATGCCATTCGAAAGCAATAAAAGAATGATGCATCTTCATAGCATTCTAACTAAAGAAAAAGGTTGAAGCAGCACTCACATTAGGGGCAATGCTTGATACGCCCTAGTTTCCGGGTCGAAAGTCATCGTATATGCTCTTCGTTTTATGCAAACACCTCTGAAGGGGTAAATTTTTTTTGGTAGACTATGTGAAACGCGTTGAAGGTGATTTAACAGTATTCTTAAATAATTCAAAAGAAATTGGTTATTTTGTAAATATTTGTTGGAAATACTTTAGACTTTGTAAAAATATTATAATAATAACTTTTGCAATATATCAATAACATAACGGTACAATATTAAGTGACCTACATATACTTGACTATGATACTTTTCGACCAACAAATCACAAACATATTTCCTTAGATGAATAAAAAATTTATTATATCTTATATATTATTTTATCTATGATTTATGATATAATATTATTTAGCTCTTAGAATGCAGTTATGCAAGTGTTAACATTGAAATTAATCATTGTTTATGATAGGTTTTACTTTGCCTAAGTTTGTATTTGTATTTAATATTTTAATTAATATTTATTCATACTAATATCTTAATAACGTCGATGCTATTTACATAAGTTACCGAACTTTTAAATTAAATATTATAATTATATATAAAATGAAATTAAAAATAATTAATAAATAATAAACAAACAGTTTATTTAGTTTCATAGACTTCAACTCTCGTTCATTCTCTCAATTCATTACAATTTAACAACTCTAAAGAATAATGTTAGTTTTATCTTATTGTTTGAAATTCTCAAGAGCGATAATGAAGAGCAAATGGAAAATATTTATAAGTAAATAATTTTCATTGCCCATTTACACCGTTTAACCGACGTTATCACTGTTGGACACCGTAATGTCTTACTTAGAAATAGACGGTTTGCGTCCGGGAAAGATAATTTTAATAGAACGTGACTTTTTAGGTATTTTTTTAAAACAATAAAATGCATTTATATTTAAACAGGTGGACTATCCAGAGAGGCTTAGTTTAATTTTGTTTTGAGTTTAAACAAAATGGCGACATTTTATATTTTTGTTTTAGCTACTGTGATTTGTAGTGTAAGTATTTTTTATTATTGAATTTTATCGTGTAGGTATTTTATACCCACATAGCATAGATATAATATTTCTTTATTTTTTTTATTTGTGACAAATTATATAATCAAAAAAAAAGAAGAAAAAAAAAGGAAAAGACGTCGGTGTTGAAGCTCCGACGCATTGTCTGTTTAAAAAGAGAAGTATTAGATTAATGTCAAAAGTCTTCTTATTTAGTCTTCCATTTAAAAAAAACTATAAAAATAAACTGATCTAATTAAAAGGCAATGGTAGCCTAGTGGTAACGCGCTCGCTTTGGAAACCGAGTGAAGCGGGTTCAAATCTCGGGTCCTACACCTCTGATATTTTCATGTGCGAATCATTGCCAACATAATTACATTACCATTTATCTTACGGTGAAGAAAAACATTGTGAAGAAACCTGCATATCTAAAAGGCAGGTGGTCTTACTAATTTACTATATTTACAAAGGTACGAAGTCTCCCAGTTGATACGGAAAGTTCGTCATCGTCTACCTCGACTGGATTGCAACTTTTAGTAAAGAACTCGACGGATACTGCTGACTACCATCTCACACCCTATGTCAGTGAGCTTGAGCAAATGGATGAGAGGATCACCGAAGAATTGGAGGCTATTTTGCCATATATTAACTTTTTGGTATGTTCTTTTTTTTTAGTAAATATAAACGCTATTATAACATATTGGCGACGGCTCGGGTGTGTCTATAGGAGCCTAACGGCAGCCAATGTGTTACTCATGGCTATAATCTATATTTTGTGCCAACTGTTTTCATCTTAATCAGTCCAGCCGTTTTTGTGTGAAGGCAAAAAAGCTCAAAATTTCTTGTATACTTCTGACTCCTCAAACGTAGGTATTCGTACGTCATTTGAGAACGGTCGAACTAGTTTCAGTATAGTACATTTTAATTGTTTAAATGATATTATTATTAAATATGATTTTAAGCTAGATTTTATATGCACTTCCATTATACAGCTAAGGTTTATTGAAATATACCGTCCTATAACTTAACTCAAATTTCATCTTATTATCGGGTCATGAAATTGCATTCAAACTAAATTATAATTGAAAATTGAGTATATAAACCATTTAAAATGTTCACTCATTTGTAGACTCCAATTTCAATATCACGGTTATTGCCAAAGCACAAATATGAGTTTTCATTTCGAAATAATAGTTTATAGTACTAGAAATCGTGTTATTAAGTGGTCAAAGCAAATACTAGCTCATATCCATAAGTAGTGGAATTACTTTAAAGATTAACTAAATACCACACACAAGTTTCCTATTTGTTCTATTACGATGTTGATGGGCATATTTGTATATGAAATAGAACTTTAATTACTGTTCGTTTATTAATTCTTTTTATTTGCGTGAGTTGCATTTGCAGTCGGTTTAGTTAATTTTGATTGTATTTTTTAGTTGTCTAGTTAACAAAGTAAATGGACATACATACCAATATAATCGGTTAACTAGAAACGAATGTATCGAAGGTCTTTCATTATGTGAAACGAGTATCGTAGGTTCGATATCGGAGCATTAAATTTTAAGATAATATAATTCGTTGGCTTACTATTACAACGTTCTATGTTAATTTTAATGAAGTTTAGTAATTTTTACATAGAACTTCGTTATTTTGTTATCGTAAAAAAACAACATAGAACTATGTAAAATTGAATATTTTGTAGTTAAAGTGCCGCTATCTAGTGGTTTGTTTTTCCAAAACTGTAGCTATTGACACATAGAACCTTGTAGCATTAATAACTAAATAAGTAGTAAAATTGTAACATAGAACCTTGTAATAGTGAGCCAACGAATTATGTCAAGGTGGTCTGTACTGAATATAGTGCTCAGCATCTAAACACTGTCAGAAGAAAGACAACAACATTTTTTTTTCAATAGTCATTTTTCTTGTAGTGTTATTCTAAGAGAAACTCAAATTGTTTAAAGAAGAAACAGGTTTATTTAAATTAAGTTTACAGAGAAAATTTAGACGGATAGATAATATTTATAAGTACATACTTTTCATTGCCTATTCTATTTGCTATGGATAAAAGTTTGGTGAATATGTTGTAATTTTATATTGTTAATTTCTTATATTTGAAGTTCATTTCTGGTGATCATCTTGAGCGATTGAATTGAAAGATCTCTAAAGATCTATTTCCAAATCATCTAATATTTATAACATCTTGTTCATTAAATTATAATAAGAAAGAATTAAAATAATTATGTTCTCTAATATATAAAAGATTGTTATAAAATTTTCAGTATCGCACGAGTAAAATAGTACGTAACACTAAAAATACAAATAAATCTCGCATTTGGCGGATATTTTTAATTTATTGCGAAAATAAAACGATAAAGTTAATGAACATTGTTCAAAACTATTCTTTAATCTGAAATATTTCGCGTATTTTATCTCAAAGTTATTCAGAGGTCAAGGACCTCCAGTTCGTAACTTCATTCATAAAGATAATTTAATAAATATTGGTGTAATATCATAATATCAGTTCGCGGTAATTTTATTACGTCATTGTGTTCATTAAAATCACACACAGTTCTTAAAATTACGAAGTTATACTCGCAATATTACAGTAAAAACAAAAGATTAATTCTAATATTAAAGAAAATTTTAGAATAAACATCTTTATTCTATTGTGATTACTTAAAAATTTAAAGCTGTTGATACTTTCTAAACGAAACTGAACCGTGGTTTCATTAAAATAGTCTTAAGTTCGACATATTTTCATTTTATTAATGAGTATTTAACACACCACACATTGTGTCCGTGTCTTTTTTAGCCCTTTATTTGTTTTGCTATGACTTAACCGACTTAAACTAATATTGTATATTTTTTAAGATTTTGGGTTTGACTTATTATTTATTAGAAATAATATTCAGATACAAGTTTTTGAGTGAATGACATTTATATTATGTAAAGAAATCCGATTTTATAAAGTTACGACACATCATATTATAAAAAAATGTTTTTATTATTCTTTTATTAATTTAGGCAGATTGACTTATTTATTTCCAGATATTTTAATTAATTAATTTCTTTGTTTATTACGAAAAACATACAGCTTTTATATTACATAATATGTATAGAATTAATAACATATACATTAGCCAACAATGTTCACAAGTAAAAGAGAAACACAATGCAAAGTTAGGTTTAAGAAATTCTGCATTAATAAAAACAAAAAAAAACTCTAATCCAATATTAAATTAAAATAAAATGATAAATAAAACATAGAGTTGTAAACTTATATATAATAAAACTTTATAATTAAATTATAAAAAGTTCAAGTTTTACTAACTTGTACTACAGGTGTGCAATGATCGAAATAAAATATACTTACTGGATATGTTGTTAAGTATACAAATTTTAGATTTATGTTAAGCACATTTGTAACGCTATTTTCGCGTCAAGATTCAAAAACTGACAGTTGTGTGAAATCTGTCAAATTAACTGTGAGATTAAAATCTACTCCAAACATTTTCACAGCTTAAACAATTCAAAAACTATACAATGTTAGTCAAACCCGATTTGTGTTTTAATGTATGCATAGAAACTAAAACCTTCTGGGATAATGGTTTATTTTGAACGGATCGAAATCCATTAAGTGTTTAGCTCTAACATAAAAGCAAACGCGTTAACTCGTTATTTGGTACTATGTATGTTGTGATAAAGCTTAATTTCCCTTTATTAGTCGTCGCTTCTTCCCATTGAGCTTTTATTTTGTTTTATAAAAAAGCTCTTTTGTATATAAAAGCATTGTCTTGATTTTTTCAACTTTTGTTATATAACTTGATTTAAAATGACTATTTTTTGGAATATAATATTAGAATATTCACGATATCTACAAAATATTTTCAATAAATAATTTCTTCAAAGGTAAAACAGACAAACAACAGATGTCGTAGGCTCAGTAATGGGGTTCAAATCCGAATGTTCATATATGAATCCCTGAAAATTACTAATTATATTTTTTCTTTCAGTTCGATACATTATTCGATCGGTCTAGTGATGATGAAGATGAATGTATTGATGATATGGTTATTCAGCTAGTTCCAGAAAAGTCACTACCTAAAAAGGATGAAGACACTACTGAACCTGCTATCGCACCTTAAATCCTATAATCGATTTATTTATAATGTAAAATTGTAATAACAAATGTTTAAGCTTTGTTTTGTATAAATATTTGTAACGCAAATATGTATGCCAAATTATATTGTCGTGTATTAAATTATTATAATTTCTTTACTCTTTCCTTTTTTTGCAGTTTTTTGTAAGAGGAGATCCAAACTTCTATAAATTAAAATTATAATATACTATTCATACTTCAACATCTTTGAGTAAATTTAAAACTCCGAGATTTCTCTAAGTAAAATCTTAATATATACCTTCATTTTCATGAGCTATGAAATATGTCTATTGGTAAATTCAGAAAAAAATTAAACCACGTTTGTGTGCTAAAGATTATTATCTCGTCAACGTTTCGTCTAAAACCTTTGTCTCTGCCGTGACCATGATTGCTGTAAAGCATTCGAAACGTCGGGAACCAAAAATCAAAATAAACCCGCGAAATAATTCGAATAGATAGTTTATTTAAAACGTCAAATATTTGCTTATATCTAAGAAAGTATTAAGTTGGTTGTATATATTAAATATTTCTAGTACAGAAAAGTTATTGAATATCTACGAGTGCGTTAAGACTGATCGAAGCGAGACCGGTTTGCTAGAGTGTAATAAAAATAAACACACTTTATTATATTTACTACAATATTTATTTTACATATTGAACAAAGCTATGTACTCAGCATAGTACATAAAACGAAGTCAAAGTACACCATTGACAGTATAAGTATAAGATCATCTTCTTAAAACAACTCTACAATGAATTGGAAAATGTTTTTGCTTTGTACATTATGTGTGATAGAAAACGTGAGTACTTTTGAGTTTATTATTAAGTGATAGATGATGGTAGACTTTGGTTTAAATTCCAACTTCTCAGTTACCAGTGATCCTCATTTTATCCTACACTAGGGACTCACCCTCGCTTCGTTCGATTTCGTCCCTAGGTACGTTTTAACGGCTAGAATGGAATAAATAGACTATGTATTACTGATATGATGTCCGCCAACCCACAATTTGCCAGCGTGGTGAACTATTGCCTGATCCCCCTCGTATTGGAGGGAGGATCTAATATATATATATATATATATTACATATAATAACTTTATTTCTTTCTGCATTAATTATTTATCTGCTTTCTGCATTGCATAAAAATTGTATATTTTTGGAACAGCTTAACTCTGCGAAATTTTACCTTTCACCACTGGTACATAGATAGACCATACCCTATCATATTATTATATTAAATGTTATACTACGATGAAAAACCTATGTCTCTATCCGAACAAAACACTAACTCTATATAACATGGAACCGTTGTCCAATTATTTTGAGAAAGAAGGACAAACTTTTGCATTAGTAATTTATATTATGTCAACGTAAATGTATTATTTACTTACATTGCGAATCTTTTAGTTTTTTCTATATATTTTCTTCATTTGCCGCAAATACTTGAATATTTAATCTATTAATTATATAGCAAAAGGCAATTAAAATAATATAATTTACGATGACGACGATAAAGCTGGACTCTTGCCAGATGCAGTGACCTGATTAATTTAGATATATAAAATATTAAAGACTATGCTTTTGTCACAATTAGTTTGGTGTTCAAAAGAAAAGTATGATACTTATATATCAATTAAGTTAATGAATCTTTCTATTAAATTATGAAACGGTATCTCATATTAAGCTGGCGTAAGTTACAAACATCGATAACAAAATTAAACCTCACAACGTGAATGAAAACTTACATTTTTCTTTCTGATTGTCAACATTTTCTCGAAACAAAATAATGTGCACATATGATACTGAGATTTAGGTGACTCAATAAAGAAAATTTAGATTAAATTATAATCGAATTATAATTTCAAGGGTTAATTTTGGAGGCCAAATGAAAAATAATAATTGATTATGTAACATACCTAATAGGTTGAAAATTAAACATTTGCGATTGCTTTTTGATACTGTATACTTTGTAATAGTATAAAATTTATTATCCATTCCTCGGTTTTAAGTTTAAGCCGATTTCTTAAAATAATTATTAATAAGAAATATATCGAAATAAAGGGTTTTACAAATGCCTTACAAATATATATACAACTTATATATTTAAATGTAATTTAAGATGAGAAATGCTAAGAAACAACAAATAAAAAATTATTTACAAAAATAAAAATCAATCACACGCAGCTATTCTAAAACGAGTACATAATATGTATATATGTATATGTCTCCGACTCCATTATACTATGTTCCTTCGTCAACTTGTTTTCATCTTTTTAGTTCGCCTTTTACACAGTCAGGTTTTTGAAAGTCACGGGTTAAAGAGGGTTATCGTATTAATAATTTCGATAAATTGAAGTATAATTTTACCTTTCTGTTTATATTTAGGAGGCTAAAAGATTAATATTTTTATCCGTACATACTCGTAAGTATTAAATATTTCATTGGTGAGTCATTAAATTGAAAATAATGATTTTTTATTAAATAAAAAATATGTCATCTAAGCAAAACTTATTTCTTTTGTTGTCCCTAAAAATCATAAGTCACACTGTAAATGAAATAAGAAAACTCCAATAAACACTTTTATATACTCAAAAACGAAAATAATATAAAAAAATAAGGTATTTATCAATATTTATACTTTTTAACTCCACTATTAAAATCTTCCGTTTTATCCATCATAAGCAATTGGCATCAATTATGAGTCTGTCCGTCGGTCTTTTATAATTTTTTATATTTATTTATATTTATAGTTATAATATGTATTATGCAGACAATGTACGTAAAAACACAAGTCCTATATAAAATAAAACACTGTAATGATGACTGTAATGAAAGAAAAAATATTTCACAGGCGAATGCTTTTGTTAAGAGGAACGTAGAGAGTTCAACATCAAATAGCATATTAGATTCGTTCCAGCGGAACATGGATCGGTTCCGTGACTGTATGGACAAGACGTTAGCCGCTGCTGTAAGTGAAGTCAACGAAAAACAACTCCAACCTATTTTCAGTGCCCTCGGGGACCAACTTAATAAGTTCTCCAAAGTGGTAAACTATTTTTAGTATATTCTTACTTCTGCCTATACGTTTTGTGGTTTGAAGCCAATGACTCATACACTATTTATGGCTGCCTAACATGTAGATTAACAATTTACTACGGTTCGGTTCAAATGTTTAGCTTTTTTTTTATTTATAAGAAAGTGACTCAAATCCATACAGATTATATCTAAGATGGTTTAAGTCATTTTGAGTGTTTTTCGGACAATATCAATTGTAATTTATTGGCACTTTGTAAATTGCACTATTATTTTTGTATTCATGTATTTTATGAAGATATTATTATGTAAGTTTACTACTGTATAAAATTTAAATTTTTTTAGGCAAATATATAGAAGACGTAAATACAAATATTTAATTTATGTACGTACTAGCGACTCAACCTCGCTTCGCTTGGGTTCGTCGCTAAATACGTTTTAATTTTTTTGAGCGGAATCCTAATACTTTTTCTAAAATAAAAGTAGCCTATGATACTCTCTATAACTTCAGCTATCTTCCAGTTAAAATCCCGTCAAAATCAGTCCAGCCATTTCAGAGATTATCCGGAACAAATAGACAGACAGACAAAAATTTAAAAAAATGTGTTTTTCTTATAAGTACCGTAATTTCATATGCATTTAGTAAAACGCTGTTATTTTGACATTACAAAGTGACACTTAAATTTTATTTATCTGTATAGATGAGATGGCCTTATTCTTATTCAGTGTTATTTCGTTTGTGTTTTGTAATGCTAGTGGATAGTATGGGTATTTATTTCAATTTTTTGTTTATATCAGGTTGACATCCTCACCGCCCCGACAACGGTGACCACCACATAAATAATAATTACAATGTAATTTAAATATGCATTTTAATATGTACGACGCCACAAATACTATTAAAATAACTGATAAACAACGAACGTGATTTTATTTCGTACGTGCTCATGACATCATAGTATGCGATAGGAAATAACTTGTTAAAGTGATCCCGGACGTAATAAAATAAAATTCAATATGGAATATTGCTTACAGTTCCATATACTGAAATAATAATTTAAATATTTTAGAAATTTATATTCAAATTTATATTCGACATTAATTTATTTTGAATATAAAAATTTTATAAGAAATAAGGTAGTACGTGTTCAAATAAAACAGCCCGAGCTCCCTCCGTCATGATGATTATTATTTAGAGTTATTTAAAACTCTTACAATCTTATTATATATATATATATATATATATATATATATATATATATATATATATACGGCATTATATTATCTATATAATATATAATAGTACATAAAAGTTAGTAAATATGACAATTTTGACGTTATATCAATGATTGTATAAGGAAAAGCGACATAAAAAAATTAGGAATAGAATACCACTTAAACTATTCCACAAACATCTAAAAGGTATTCCGCCGCATACACAAAGAATTCTCGAGTAGAACAAATACGTTTATTTTCATTCCAAAGGCCGAAAACAGCTACCGGTACGGTATTGTCTCTAATGAGAAGAATTGTGTAGGAACTACTTTGTTTCAATATAACTCTGAGAAAATATCGCGGCTTTCTAAACTGCCGTAAATTCGACTGTTGAACATTCTTTTGCAAATTTTGTTAATGCTTACCATTCTAAAAGATAGTCTCAATCAATTTCTTCTTTAAGAAGTTTTTTAAATAAATAATGTACTCAGTAGGTGGGTCTGTGGCCTTTAATTAGTTAAGAACTATCTAGGTAACCTCAAGTATGATAAAAATTTCATCAAAATCAGTCAAGCCATTTAGGGACAGAACAATTACGAACTTATGCAAATCGGAAATTTATATGTAAAGAAGAAGTTTTAAAATAAATGTATACACGTAATATATTTGTCAGACAAATGCAGTAATATATTGTTCTACTTTTCTCAAGAGGCATTTATAATTTATTCGCTTGAATACCCACAAAAATATAATATTAATACAAATAAAAAAGTAATTTTTACACCAGTCCTGAATAAATACTATAAGTGGCAAAAAAGTATTAGATCGTGCTCTATCATACACAAGGGATCGAGTTAATGAGATTGTGTACAAATAAAATGGTACTAAGATAATATAATAACTGTATTAATCGACTATTAATTATAGTTAAAGAGAACATCTTTCTTTTAATTTAACTTATAATTATTTTCGCTTTTCCTAGCGAATTATTCTCGCTTCGTTTGAGCGTATTGGATGCGCCAAAGTTCGACCAGTATACCGGAATTTTATATATGTATAGTACCGGGAATTTTATAATTTTATATAATATCATAGTCTGTCTATGTTTTGGTTTATTATTATTTACATTAGATTATTATTGTCTGAACGCAAGAGTTGTACCGCGACTTGGTTCGTGTTGGAGGTTTCGAAGGCGGAAAGAGGAAAACAGAACGGAATGGTATCATGTCTCTTTCTATGACGCAACTAGATTACTCTGAAGCTACCACGAACAATATAGCTGAGGTTCAAACAAATTTGCATATTGACAAAGGCCTCAGGGACTTACTTTTATATCACCTAATAAGTGAACAACTCAAGTTTACAGTAAGTATGACAAAAGCCAGAAGATTTAAGTTGCCACAGGGCTTAATGACCTACAGTCGAGATAATTAAATTTACTTGCTTCAATCATGTTATATATAAAGCAAATATTTATGTAATACATTATATAAGGATAGATCTCTTATAAATGAAGTAGGGGAATATATTATTACAAATGCTATTTACAGACATAGGTGATAACAGATCTAAATAAACATTTGTTCAGTGAAACTTTTTTTTATGTTTTCGTTATCTATATATGTATGAATAGATAAAGACAAAAAAGTTTAGTACATTTTCTCTTCTGTTTGTCAATCGTGTTTCTTTTTTTTTGTTTAGTTTGGCAAGCTTTAGAAAAAAATGATTATTTATTGAATTTTGACCACTGGGCGAGCACTAGTACATATATAGTACATATATAGTACATATATATAGTACAAGTTTGTGAGGTTGTAGGGGGTAATCTCTGGACCTTCTAAACCGATTTAGATGAAATTTAGTAAGAAAATAGCTTGAGACCCTGGGAAGGACAAAGGATACCTTTTATCCCGGAAATCATCCCTTAAGGGAATGAAAATAGGGATTTAAGTTTGTATGATCAAAGCGAGGGTGAGTCGCTAGTGTATTATAGACATAGTAGGTAATTTTGTCATGTTATGTAAAATAACAGTTAGTAATGAAATAATATCTATGAAATTATGCTAATAGCTCACAATTAGGTAGTAATGTATGTTGTTTTACTAAGTAAAATATTGATTTACCAACTTACAATAATGGATTATTATTTGTAAAGTAATTATTTACATATTGTTCTTTATATAATAATAGCGTTACTTACTCGTACGTACATTATATCACGGTAATGTAATATATTACCGTTCTTATATTCTTTATGTTACTTCATGTTATAGTCTATCTATGTACTAAATTCCATCCAAATCGGTCGAGTCCTTTTATCGTTAAGAATTAACAAACACGCGTACACACATACATATACACATTTTCGTATTTATAGTAATCCGATATGTATACTTAATTGAAGCAAAAAAAAATGTTTTTTTCTTCTTAGCTTGGAGGTAGAATTTGTAGCTTATAAAAAAACAAAATTATTGAAATAAAAAAAAATACTCTACATTTTCAGGTGGCCCACTGACTTTTAAGATAAATAATTAACTAATTAAAATGTATGCTTTGGATGATTTTTTCCCCATGATCATCTTGGAAAACATTTAAGAATTGAGGTATATACCTAATCATTTTCTACTCAACTTTCACTGTTAGACAAAAAACTTACATGTTATTTTTTCAACTTTTTTAAAATTGCAATAATGCAATAATACAGTGAAAGTTGGGTAGAAAATGATTATTTTCGTCAATTCTTGAATGTTATCAAAGATGGTTACGGGAAAAAAAACATTCAGAGTAAAAAAAATCCATTCAAAAAAAGAATTAAATTAATTATTTTATAAAGCAGTGGGCCACTTTAAGATGTTGAGTATTTTTTTTTTCAAAAATTTTGTCGTTTTTATAAAATACAAATTCTACCCCCAAGCTAAGAAAAAAATCAAGTTTTTTTAGCTCCACCCTAAATTGTATACGTAATTGTAAGTATTTATTATCATAAAAGCTTTCACTCATAAACTTACGAATCCTATTCATTTAATATTAATAACTAGCATTGCCCGCGGCTCTGCCCGCGTTCAGATGACCAAAAACCAAATTTTTAGGTTTTACATATTAGTACACTCTTACATTGCAGTTTTTGTATTTTTTCTCAGAAATGAGACATTTTCCCACACTAAAAAGTATCCTATAAGCTGACGCGGATAACCAGCTACCACCATACCAAATTTCAATAATCCCTCCAGTGGTTTTTCTGTGATGCGGTAACAGACAGACAGCAAAAAATTCTAAAAACTATAGATTCGGCCTCTGTATCGATAATAATGTTTATTTCAATATGATTTTCCAAAAAATATTTAATGTACAGATTTGGCTCGGTTACAATTTTATTATATGTAGAGATTTTATTCGGATTTTATTGAAATCAAAGTTTATGTTTTAATATAATGCGCTAGTATTTACTCAGATGGACTATGGCCTGAAGTAGCACATAGGCTACTGTTAGGTACCTAGGGATGCACCCCCGAGTGAGGGTAAGTAGTTCGTGTCTTATATATGTATATTATCACTTGACCTATGCTCAAATGAGCATAACATATATAAATATATCTGTCACTCACGAGCAAAATGTGATATGTATGTATTGTAAACGACTTCCACAACATAATTCTTTGCTGACACTATCCAATCGTTTGGAGATCGTAGGTCTAGTTTTTACGTGGTCAGTTATTTATTGTTTCTTTAGGGGTGTTTTAATATGATTTTATTATATCAAAATAAAATAAAAAAAAATTATTAATTGCATTAAATTTTTGCATTTTTTTCTAAACATCATGTCATGTCAGTCGACCGCCAGTTTGGAATGAAAAAGCCTCAGACTTGAGAAGTTTAGTCGAAGCAAACTCGGTAAATAATATAAAAATTACATAATAGATATCATAATGATTTTTCGAATACAGAAGCTTCGAAGCTTTCTTCTTTTTTCTTTGAGAAGTTTTGAAGCTTTCTTTAGTTTAGGTACTTCGGAATGTTCTTAAATATTTGAAATCTACTTTGTTATATAATATTTTGTAATACTTTATTTCTAGACTTGTTTGATTAAGAAGAAGTTAACTTATATTTTTGCTAGCACTCCGGAGATTTAAAGCAATCTTTCCCTGTCAGAATCCATCTTGTAATAGGAAACGTGACACGTGCGCTACATTGCACCTTACAAGTTTCTACAAAAACTTAAAAGAATTAAAAACAGTAAAAGAATCTGAAGTAACTTAATTTCCCAAGAATATAATAATATAATATTCATCTATATAAGTAATGTTTTTATAGCAAGCAGGATAGATAGTCAAACAATAGTGAACCACTGGTGATATTTCACAAGCCCCTGCTATTGAAGGGTAGAACGGTCGAAGAGGATTTACGTGTTTATTTTGAAAGCGGTTTCTATTCGTTTCTTTTTATTCAATTTTTTCTTCCAATTTCTTTACTTTATATAATATTTATATTTATTTTATCTTTGTATCCATTTAAAGAAATATTGTAATTAAGTTATAATGATCCTAGCGATTCACCCTCGCTCCGCTCGGGTTCACCTGTAATTACTTAAAAAATGGGGGGGGCGGGGGGTAGGTGTAGGAGCG